TTAAGTCCCGCCCCCTCCACACACACACACACACACATACAGCGACTCACGGGTAAATCTGTCGACTTATAACGCTAAAAACCAGTTTTCGATACTCGTGGTGGGCACAGCACAGATAGCCCATTGTGTAGCTTTGTGCTTATCACCAAACAAACAAACCATGTAAAGTTAATGGAACTGTAGACTAACAAAAACTGTAGTAATTGTTTTGTTTGTTTGTTGAATTGTGCACGAAGTTCGAGGGCTACTTGCACTAGCCTTCCCTAATTTAGAAGTGATAGATTAGAGGGAAAACAGCTAGTCAACATCAGCCACTGCCAACTCTTGGGTTACAGTTTACCAGCAAATTATAATGACCCCATGACTGAAAGGACGAGCATGTTCGATAACGGGATTCGAACTCGCAACCTCTAGATAGCGAGTCGAGCGCCCTTAATCACCAGGCCATGTCAGGCTGCAATTTACTTATTTACATTATAATAGAATCAACTCCATCTTAAATACCATGTGAAATATTGGAATAAGTGAAAAATTCTATAATGGCTTGCGAAAGTGAATTTGCACTATGAAGGTCGATGTAGGTTCAGACAATGTATGATATTTTCCATCGGTACACTGAAGTTGACTAAGAGCGTGGCCACCTACAGAAAATTAGTTATACTGGCTAATTCAAACATTTCCTTATTTCTGCTGCGATTACATATATTCAGCTGTGTATAAAGTGATGAATTAATAAACATATATAAATATACATATACACTGAAGTTGACTAAGAGCGTGGCCACCTACAGAAAATTAGTTATACTGGCTAATTCAAACATTTCCTTATTTCTGCTGCGATTACATATATTCAGCTGTGTATAAAGTGATGAATTAATAAACATATATAAATATACATATGCACTGAAGTTCACATCCGAACGGACTTAAAAACGCAGTTGTTTATGTGGGGTACAATTGAGGTCGAACTTGCTTTTGACAGGAGGAACTTAAAACTAATTAATATTATAATTTTTTTCGTCATTGTATAAAAAAGAACAGATTTCGTGGATTGCAAACTTGAAGATTTCATGTATAACTAATACAAGAACAGAACACCACCACAGAAACTTGGTTAAATTTGTTTGTTTAGACCAATAAATTGTTAAGAGTCACGAAATAAAATGATTTTATCATTAACTGGCCTAGATTTTGGGAATTTAAATATTAGCTGAGTAGCAACTCATGGATGTAAGTTCCAGAAAGTTCTCAGTAGTAAATTTGCTGAACATACACTCGACATAAAGTGTGGCACTTTTCGATCAATTAGGTTAAGGAAGAAGTTTACCAGCATCGGTTGTTTCTGGGTGAAATATGCTGAAATGAGGCAGATCCAATCAATGAAAATCATTTCCTGTTTCCAATGGATAATTTCAGTCTTCTGATTTATAACCAATCTTTCGGTTAGTTCAATTATCAGATTTCTTTGAATGCAATATGTCTATGTAAAAAAGTTTAATTAGTCTGGTAGATCTAACTGAAAGGCCCCCCAGTGGCACAGCGGCATGTCTGCGGACTTACAACGCTAGAAACCGGGTTTTGATACCCGTTGTGGGCAGAACACAGATAGCCCATTGAGTAGCTTTGTGCTTAATTACAAACAAAAAATCTAACTGAAAGAAAATTGTAAATAATAATTATAATTTCCTCGAAAGCAGACTGAAGGCCGCCTGTTTTAACCACTCGCATAACTATACAGTAGTGTGTTGTCTGTCAATCAGTCAGTAGACAATAAAATGAAGTCACATGAGGGACGCTTAAAGTTGCAATTTGTACTATCGTGACGTTAGTAAAACGTGCGCAAGCCATGAATCATGAGAAGAATTATACACTATGTAGACTACAACACAGCCTGACATATGAACTTCAAAAGAAAGTACTAAAAAATATTTGATACTCTTAATTTTGGTTTTATTTACTCTTGAAACAGAACACTTTCGAGGAACCTGGGGAAGTACATCTAGTTTTAGGAATATTTTTTTTGCTCGAATATAAACTTCTAGTCTCTTAAAAACAAAATTAAAGCTCTAGTTGTGCAGTGAAATTAGCGCTTCTTTTAAAACTTGATTATAGTAATTAAAAAAAAAAGAATATGCAAGGTGGGCTTTTCTTCTACTTCATGACTCGGCAGCTTCCTTCAATATAGCGCCATCTGGAGCTTTCATCTGTAACTGAAGTTTATGTGGTCTGATAATTGAAGAAAAATCCCAACAAATTAGATGATGGAATATGTTATGACTGCCAATAATTTCAAATATAGCCACTCATATGTATTTGAAAAGGAAGTCTATTCGTCCACTGTTTTACTGCGTTTGCGAGAAGCGCTAATTTCACTGCACAACTAAATGATATTAGAAAATATGTATATTTTAAATAAACTATTTCTTAGTCATGGAACACCAAAATAAAATTACAGATAATTGGTGCCTCTTCTCGATAAACAATAAGTATTAAGAGCTGCCAAACATTTTATGGTATTGAAGACTGACTTTTTATGTTGTTCTTTTTTCAGCCTAACAGTTTATGGTTTTTCTAGTGTTTCAGTTTTCTAGTTTTTTCTTTTATTTTTAAGAGGAAGGTCTGTTTATTTGGTACTTTCCTATAACTTCTATCAAATTATTAAAACGTTATAAATATTTACATGTATCTATCTTCATTATAAAGTGAATCATACGAATACCCCAAAAAGTGTTAAACTCCGAATATTGACGTGATTCCATTGCAGGGTACGTATTGACAGAAACAAAATTATATCAAACTACGGCAAAAGCCAGTTCAGAGGATAACTCCAAAGATGTTGGTATAAAGCTGATAAATTTTATCCACTGCATAAGGGGACAAAGAAATGCATTTTCGTTTTTAATGTTACTATAAAAACGTCAAAGGAATACGTTTCACATTTTTAATCTCGACATTATATAAGGAGCATTATTATAATTATGTAATCGGTCCCTATGAAACGTAGCACGGGTTGGCTCTCTAGGAGTTCTAAATTTCGGAGCCAGCAAGCCGGATTCAAATCTGTGCGATACCATAAAATATTCTTCGTATATACAATAAAAAGTAGTACAACGCTAAAATAATTACACAATAAATAATTTATTGAAAACGGGGACCAACCCTAATAAGAAGTTGGTGTCATAAGAACACTGAAGCATATAGTCTTTTTAGGGTTGGCCCCTCTTTTTAATAAATCATTTATTGTGTAATTATTTTAGCGTTGTACTTCTGTTAATTGTGCATATATATATATATATATACATATTGCACATGTACCGTTTTAAATGATATATTCTCGTACTTTAAACTGTGATTGGATTATTATTCCTAAACATTAAGAGAAATTTTTCTTACTTGATATGTTTTAATGTTTTGAAATATAATCTATTTTGTATATCTGTCCAAACTTCTTTCACTTACGTATTAATGTATCGGTAACATTTGCTTTGATTTGAGTAAGCAAGTTACACCAATACATTTAAAGTTATGATGGAATTCCTTTTATATAAACTGTAATACAGTTGTAAAATAATCTCATAACTTGTTTTATTTACTAAAAAACACTTTATGAGATTTACATGTTAAAACATCATTTTCAACTTTATAATTAAGCTGGTGTTCTTCGGGAATATTTTGATAACTAGGTTTAATCATGTGTTCTACGAAGGAAATCTTATTTGCAGATTCAAATGTTTTGTCAAAATATTGAAACCAAATAGCTATTGCCGTTTAGTGTTGTTTTTAAAAAAATTCTCATGTGTTTAGTATCCAACTATTTTTATAACTACAGTGTTCATGATGGTTGTTCACGTTTAAGAGGCCACACAAGATGCCTTTCTTTAATCTTCTAGTTTAAACTTGACATTTGAAAGACGTTACGTTAAAAAAAAAGAGAGAGAGAATCAGAGAAGTTTTTTTGAAGAGGTTCCATCAGCTTGCCTTCGTCACCACAGGAATCTTCATTTAAGAAACGCTTGTTTGTGATCAAGAAGCACGTGGCACAATTGTGCACGCCACACGCCAGTACTTTGCCTTGTTCCAGTTGGTCGTTATGAGCTCGCGAGAATCAAGACCAATCACGATTTCGTTTAACCCGTCAGTAGATTGGCTGAAAGCCAATGGTACGCGCAACACGTGTTATACGATATCGCTCTGGGCTGTTTGGTTATTTTACATTGATGCAATGGATCAAAGTTTGTGCGCGGTAAGTCAGGCAAATTTCCTAAACGCGACGTTCCAGCTGTGTGAGACCTAACAACCGACTTGCACTTGCAGTCCAGGTCGCTTCTAATTAGTCGTCAGAAGATTATCACATCGCTTCTTTGTCATTGCAATAAGTTTTTTTATTACCTTCGTTAAGAAATATTAATATTTAAGGCGTGTGATAAACCTTTTTACGGTTATCTTCAAAAGTGAAGCTTAAAACAATCTTCCAAGTTCCAGGCTTTGTCAACAACTACAAGTTAGAAGTTTACAATAATGAACAACGAGGACCAAAATGTGGACAAACCAACGCAGGAAGGCAGCCGGGTAAGTGACTAAAGATTTCACGTGAAGTTCTGAATTCTGTAATAAACGTGAAATAATGATTTCTTCCTAACTTCAGTCTTCTAATTGATAATTTAATGTATGGCGTACAAAATAGTAAAATTTCATAGACAATAGAAAAATCATAATAATACTAATAGTACTAGTTGATAATTTCCCGTCTACTTATTGTGTGATTTTTCGAAAGCCTTTTCTTATTTATTATAATTATGTAAGAAGGAACGATTTTTTATGTAAATTTTTCTGGAATGAGTAATGTTGATGTATGAACATGTAAAATTGTAAGGAAATATAATAATAAATAGATATAATAAATTTAGATAATCATTAAAATTCAATCAATAAAATAGGTAAGACATGCTTGAAAATACTCGTGTTTTTTTTTGTAATTAAATTGTATACCTTTCCTAACTTTAAAATATATGCATCACACCAATATTCTTTCAACCAAAATTTTCAAAAGTTTTGGACAGTCAAGTAAAGAGATATAGTAATCGTTGCGCGAAATAAAATGTTTTGCATGGTTTAAATTCATCAAAGCATTTTACATGTACAAAAATAGCAAAATTAAAAGAAGGGGATCAATGTTATAAATATGTGATATTTAAAAAAAAAGCTAAGTTATATAAAAGGACAAACCATATAAAGATATACTGTAAAAGCTAAGTTAAACGAGAAAAATAATGGAGAAAACTTTATCCTCTTTTTATATTCACAGTACTGTTTGCTCCAGTTTCAATAGAAAAAGGAGGGCCAAGTTTTTCAGTTTATTCCTTGTTTAACTTAACTACTTTTACACTGTATCTTTAAATGGCTTCCCATTTTATATAACTTGGCTCTTTTTTTTAGATATCGCTAACCCCTTTATTATAACTTATCTGCTTTTTGTACATGTAAACTGTTTTGATCAGCTATCATTATGGTGACTATTTTAACGTTAATTAAACGTACTATCCCACACGAAGTTTGGCGCGAGCCTCAGTTGGCAGGGGAAGCTTAGATGCTATGCCATTTCCATATTTTAGACTTTACATGTATCTTTCAAGTTATCAGTCTTAACGTTTGTTTGTTTGTTTTGAATTTCGCGCAAAGCTACACGAGGGCTATCTGCGCTAGCCGTCCCTAATGTAGCAGTGTAAGACTAGTCATCACCACCCACCCTCAACTATTGGGCTACTCTTTTACCAAGGAATAGTGAGATTGACCGTCACATTATAACACCGCCACGGCTGAAAGTGCGAGCATGTTTGGTGGGGCGGGGATTCGAACCCGCGACCCTCAAATTGCGAGTCGTACGCCCTAACAACCTGGCCATGCCGGGCCTTAGTCTCAACGTAGTGGCTGTGGAGAGCAATTCACCATTAAAATGATCAAAAACATATTCATGAAAGAAATGTTGCTATATACGCTACAGTTGTCAACAATCCCTAGTACAGATTCAGTTTCGTGCCAGTCCTTCTCGTCTACAATATGTTTTACCTCCTCAGCAAGGAGAAGTAAAAAAACAAGAATTTTACCACTTTGTGACTGATTATTTATATTAATCTTAAGGAATGAATTAATGTGATCTAAGAGTTTTCAGAATTATAAGAATAGTGGCTCTCCAGCGTTTGAAACAGCTGTGGCAATACCCCAATATTGACCAAAAGTTTAAGTTAGGTCCTGAATATATCATAGCCACAGCAATGTTGCTCTATCCTGTTAACTTGGTTGAAGTTACTACCATGCCTGTAGATTAACTAAGTAAAATTTTATATAGTGTTATTTAGATTTTGTTGAGTTGGGCTTGGCTTTATAGTTAGAGTTCCCGAATTCTGAATCTGAGGGTTCATGGTTTGTGGCCAGTTGCTTAAAAAGCGCGCTCCGTACTTTGGGGCCTCGGGTGCGGTTGACTAGCTACCTTCTCTCTAAGTTATTAATTCAAATTAGAGAGAACTATTCGCAAATAATCCTCTGTGTAAGTTTGCGCAAAAATTAAACTTGGTATTTCTTTCTCACTCATACCTGTTGCTCAAGTTATCTGACGTTGAGGTTATAGCCTTATATTGAGGTAACCTGCGTGTAGAGTACATAAAGTTATGATTTAAGACATATTTCTCGGCATGAAAGCTTCATTGTTTTAATATTAACGTTGAGGTTATAGCCTTATATTGAGGTAACCTGCGTGTAGAGTACATAAAGTTATGATTTAAGACATATTTCTCGGCATG